ACGGCCAGGCATGAAACTCCTCTGAGGAAAGGAGTAAAATACCAAACAAACCCAACAGCAGTGTATGCAGAGCAAGGCTCACCTAGTCGTGCCAAAAAGCATATTAGGGAAAACAAGCGGATTCCAGTATTGATATGATGTCTTGAATAGAAATGGCTAATTCCTTCAAATACATTAAAGTAGTGATCTATCTGTGAAAAATGAGATTAAAGCAGAAAAGGCACTCTGTCTGACTGCATTTTAAAAGATAGGCCCATATCATCCCTGCTTTAATCAGATTCCCAGAGGTGCAGTCACTCCCTGGCTCACTGAAGTAAAAAAAAAAAACAAACCAAAACAAAAAAAAACACAAAAAAACCCAAAACCCAACAACTGGTAACATCTGTCAGCTATCTGACCAATGCACACTATTAACAGGGTGTCTTAAAAATACCTGCGGGGATGCTGGCTATGAGCTGAAAAGCTGGGCTCCAAATGGATCAAAATATATTCAGAATCAGCCACCAGCAAATACTCCCCGTAGAAACCAGCAGGTTTACAGGTGAAACTTCAGCTGTCCTCCTTGGAGGGCCATTAGGCTGCTTTTGACCTGTATCAGATGTTTAGAGCCAATAGTTCTTACCAATCTCAGGGAAAGGAAAAAAAAGTAGCCAAGCTCCAAACATGGCAGACAAGCAATGCACTCCGCCGAGGATTAACCATTTTATGAAACCAAATGACAAACACCAACCACAGATGCCAGGGTGGTGGGGACAAGTCTGGGGAGTCTCTCCAGCTGATGGCTGCCGTCGAGATGAGCTGCTCATCAAATGATCAAGAGCAATTTTTCAACAGCGATTTTGCTACAGCAGAGGAGCAGGCACACCTTAGAAAATTGTATTAGCTTAAAGCCCATCTTTGTATCCAATGCAAAGTTTACCATTAAGAACTTCCTATTTTACTGTCTCTTGGCCCATGTGTCTTTGGAAAAAAAAAAAAAACCAACTACCAAACAACCACTTTTTCAAGTAATTACGATAGAAGCACTCTGGACAGTTATGTTCAGAATTTTTTCTGCTAAAGATCAATATTAAATTACTGGAAAAATATTTAACTAATCAAATAAAAACAAGTTAATGAGTTCTGTAAAAGATTTGCCATTTCAAGATATTGCCAGAAAGTTAAGAAAAAATGATAACTACTTTAAAAATTATATAAACTTTTTCATGACACAGTTGTTTCTGAATAAAAACTATTATGCAATAATAGAGTGTCTGAATTGGAAGGGATAGACACAAATGCTCAAATTGTAACCATCTTGCTAGCTTACAGATAGTAAGTAAAATAAACTTATGTCTTACTGCTGTTACTTTTCTGTTTAATTTCATCACTACGGAGTGCCACAAAACTAATGGACATGTATATATAAAGTGACAGGAAAAAATGCTGTAAAGACCTCTTGGCATGGCATTTAATAGCCAAAAAATATTCTTGGTGTCTATGGTAAATAAATGTCAAACCTTAATTACACAGTTTGCTACCCTTGTTTCCCTAGGCACAGATGGTAGGGTCAGAAATGAGCCAAAGCAGACAGAAACTGTATTCCATGTCTATTCTGAGGGCTATCATAAGCCATCCTACTAGACAGGAGTATACACATAATTAAAAATTCATTTTATGGGGTCAGTGATGAAACAAAACTCAGATCTCTGGTTTCCCAAGGGAGCGATCTGACATCTAGATAAAGAAGCAGCTGTTCTAATTCCAGAGAGAGTCCCATTAAACCTGTAAGTCTATTCACAACAACACAGCCTGATGCAAGAACCTCTGCCATGGCTGTTTGGTCACACAGGCTCGTCCATTCCTCCTTTTGAATGTTTTCTGCCTTGTAACTGAATTGGTGGTCTGCTTTGAACACTCATATTTCGATCACAGCACTATACAAAGGGGATTGAGCTCAGTTAATTTCAGACTTGTTAATTTTCTCTGGATAAAAGTATTTTGTGAGGTGCTGGGGCTCCTGCATGCCCTGACCCAGGGTGCTCCTGTCTCCCCTGAGCTCACCCCTGGAGCTTACCCGCAGTGTTCCTGCCTTCCTTGAGCCCACCTCTACCTCAGGGTGCTGCTGCCAGGCCCACCAGAGGATGGGGAACGGCAAGGCAGGTTCCCTCTCCCAGACCCTATGGCATCCCCTAGCCTGTATAGAGGCCAGGGTCTCCTCCTCCTCGGTATGAGATGCTACCAGCAAAGCACACAGACGGCTGCGGAGAAAAGCCTTCCTCCACCCAACAGCCACACCAGAGCCGGAGAGCAGCACTTACTCTACATAGTAGACACCATATACAGGATCCTCAATTTTCTCCCAACCAGCAGGCAACTCTGGAAATAGAAAAAGCATTACTGAAGCCTCCAGTGACGTTTTTTCTGACAGGTCCTGCTCAGCATGCAAAACTCACCAGTAGCTCAGACTTCTCTTTGAACACTTTTCAGAACAATCACAGCCTCCTTTTAAAGGCTGGCATAGTACGGCACCAACATCACAGCCTGTCCCACCAGGGCTGGGTTAGCAAATCAGTGGGAAGATGCCCGTGCCAGTCAAATTTAGATTTGCATTTTGCATTAAATGAACAAGTGATCAATAAATTTCCTTTCTGGGAGTGCCTCAAGTACCCTCCTGGTTTGACTGTCATGGCTCTGGATGGAGGCACAGCAGTGGAAGCCGATGCAGGCAACAGGCCAGAGGCATTTTAACGCCAGCATATGAAGATGGGTGAGATTATGGCAAGCAATTGTAGCACACTAACAGAAAGACCACTTCCATTTCCTTTACCAGGGCCGAGCCATTTATGCTCACCACTGCTGAAAAAAGTTTTTTTTCACTCCTTTCTTAGGGATTTACACCACATCGCTCACAGAATCATAGCATCGTTTAGGTTGGAAAAGACCTTTAAGATCATCCAGTCCAACCATTAACCTAACACTACCAAGTCCACCATTAAACCAATTAAGGGGAGAGTAATAACTAATTTCATGTTTGCTGGCTCGGTGGCTGACTTGTTTTTTAATGAAAGTAAAACTAGGAATCATTAAGGTTGGAAAGAACCTCTAAGATCATCAGTCCAACCATCAACCCAACACCACCATGCCTACTAAACCATGTCCCAAAGCGCCACATCTACCCGTTTTTTGAACACCTCCAGGGATGATGACTCCACCACCTCATCCATGAGCCCAAAGCAAAAGTGCATCTTGAAACAGGACAAAGCGAGTTTAATGTAAACACCCGGCATATTGAATCCACCCAAGTGAGGCCGGCACACACAGAAGTATTTCACTGCATAGCACTTAATGTAAAAACACATATTGCCATAATCACATGTAACAGAGATTTCCTTTTTTAATCAGCATAATTAACAAAAAACAGTTCTGAAGATGAAATTAACATTTGGAAATGCATCCACTTTTGTTCCTGTTGATTTTCTACACTGCACGTAGTACTTTAACTATAATTAGAGAAGGTAATAAAATCACTTCAGCATCCAACTGAGAGTTATTAAAGCTGTATGTATTATTTAAGGGCCTGATCCTTGTCCCACTCATTTAAACACGATCTTCCCATTGGCTGTGGGTACTGAAACAATCACCCTATTAACAATACAGAGTGGTGTGTTTGTGTAATACTGTGAATCAACTTGAAAGAAGGCTCCACCACGCTATGGACTGTGCAAGTGTGGTCCTTGCCCCACAGACTCTGCACATTCATTTAAATAAAAATAGTAATTAAAAAAAAGCCAGTCAGATAACACAAGTTCAAATACTCCATGTGAAATAATTCCTCAAAATTTATCACTAAATTGACAAGACTGAGAGCAAATAATCTATGTTTGTTTATTATGAAATGCAAAGATTTATTTTCATTAATGGCATCAATGGCTGAGCCAATACAATCAACAATGGCCCATTAATTACAATAAGCATAACTATCTAGTTCTGCATTTATAGACTTCACCCATGTTGCCATAAGGGTAGAAATATCTCCAGACTGGAGATGAACAGAATCTATACAAACACACATGGACTAATTACTCAAAGTTTATGTTTGTGTTCAGAATTGGCTGGAGATCAGATTAAATTGATTTTCATGGGTTTTGCTCCACATGTCCCTTATTTGCAGATATAAGGTAGATCTTCCATTCTTATAATTATTTTATCTTTATTGGGTTTAACATCTTTGGATTCCTTGAGACATAAGCAATTAAATGCAAGCCAGTGCTAACTTTTAGGCATGAAAATACTCCACAATTTTATCAGTAGATCCATCTGAAACGAATGCTTCAGAAACAGATATTCCGTTACACCGTGCAAGTGTATGTGAGAAAAAATTAGAAAGCTAGAGGCCAATCTTTAAAGTCTTTTCGCAAAGGGAACTTTTAGGTTTGCAAAGGAGTCCCATATGGTGAAAACACTGTGGGACTGGCTTAAAGAGTTTCAGTGCAATTAAAATAAGACCTAGCATACAATCAGGAAAATCACAAGTTGTGGCAGCCATTTAATTCTTTGCGCTATGGTGAAAGTAGAATGGTAAAGAGACCAAACTGGCATGGAAGAAAAAAAAAAATAATGGGGGAAGGGAGAAGTAAATGCACAAATGCCTTAAAATGAGTTTTTCCACAATTTTTCCTGCTAAATACCTTTTACCTATTTTGGACTACTAAGCATTTTTGATTTTTAAAGCTCAAAAACAAATGTTTTGCCTTGTTTTTGTTCACAAAAAGTTTTGGTATTAAATTTTATTTTTTCTTTTCTTTTAAAGAATTTTCATGGAAGGTCAGAAAACCAGCACTCTCCTAACCCCAAAAATGGTATTGTGTCAAAATCTGTCCAGTTTTCTAAGTCTGCAGCTTTCCATTTAAGGAACACATTTCTATGTTTTTGGAATTACCAATACGCAAAACTGCAGCTTTCAACATATTACTTGTTGATTATGTAGATGCACTTTCCAACTTCTAAAAGCCTCTGAAATTTCTCTAAAGCAAAAGGCAATATTCTCCATAGCCATCTTGTACAGTCTGGCTCCTTAGTGGCTTTAAATTATTCATCTCCCTTCTCTACCTCTCCTGCCAAACTGAAGATGACCCAGAGCATTAGATTTTACTACAAATACAAGATTTCCAAAACCATTTTGCATCATTAGGAGTCTGAGTGAGCTGTATGGCTTTTATCTTGGTACATCCATGCAGCACTGCAGTCTCAGAGCATTTGTCAGCAGGTAAATTCAATGGACAAATATCCAGTTTTACACTTTTCAGCCCTGGGTAAATACATGGATTCCTACTGAGATGCTCTTGTTTAGTATACAACCCTACAGAGGGGATGGATGGATTCCTAAAAAAGAACTTCTCCAACCACCAGGGATTCTAGTTGCACCTATGTGTCACTATAAAGGAGCTGGAGATGACTTCAGAATACCCAGCTGTTACTGCTCCCTGTGAGTCCAGGAGGATCTGCCCAAGGGTATGTGAAATTCTGCTCCAAAGATTAAATTTCTGTGTCCTTCGTATAACCTTCTGTTAAAAGAGAGGTGACCTATTACTCCATATCCAATCCACTTCTTTGGAAAACAAGAAGTTGTGCAAATGCTTCAGGTTTTAATTTTCTTATATTTAGAAAAGAAACTGTTAATAAACTAAGGAGCTAAATATCTGGCAACAACCAGCTTATACAAATCATGAGTATGGTTAGTGAATAGGCTGTATGTTTTCATGCCCCCTCCCTAACATTGCTGTAACCAACTGAGCCATTTGAAAATGTCTTTCTTTATGCTGCAACATTTGCAAACCTGAACAGCGTATTGATGGGCTGTGAGCTCAAAACAGCTTATCTGCATTAAAACAACATCTCATGATACTCAAGCAAAACACTTGTGTATGTAAGTGCCTGCAGAACTGGGGTCAGGCTTATCAATTAGTGAGCTTCCCTGCATCTATTTTTCCAGCTCTTCTCTTGCACTAGATCCCGATATCAGACTGAAAGAAGGGAACATTTCCATTTCATTACTGCCTCTAAATTTGTCTTTTTATAAACTCTCTCTTCTTTTAAGTCACCCTTTGTGAAGACCTTAATGAGAAATCTTTGCAGGTTGTTGGTGTGCATCCACCTACTTCTGATGTTACTTGGTCTGCTGCTGATTATTTGTATGAGCTGTGCATAATGCTAATGCACCACTGAAGTGACTGCATTCTTCTTTAAATTGTCATTTCTTTCAAATTCTTGGACTAAAAGAAGTTAGGCCTCCAACATTGTTCCAGCCATGTTATCCAGAAGACCAGTTCCTGGAGTAGCATTAAAAGTCTACGCAACAGCTGTTGGCTGCTGATGCCGCATCAGTCACACAGAAGCGGGAAGCAGAATACACTTGCAAGTCATTACAGAAACCAGAGGTGAATTCTCTAGTAATACAATCCTCCAGTACACAGAACTATAACCTGTAAATACAGTTCTCTTTAAAACCAGTAACAGACCTAGTGGAAACAAAATCCTATGCATCCTCTTAGGCCTTTCAGCTTTCCAACGGCACTAGAGCATAGCTGAAGAGAAATAACAACTACCTCCACCAGCAGTATAAACAGAATGAGCACCACTGAGATTAGATATCAAGACAGCATTCTTCACAACAAGACCCAGCAAATAAAAGTGTATCACACCATCGAAAATCATCTGTTTATAAAATCACCGAGGCAAAAATTTCTGCTGTTTCATTCACAAGCTCAGCAGAAGCATCCTATGTAATTCTTAAACTTTCTAAATCACACTTTGCTTCTTTTGTCTGGGAAATGTCTTTGGCCCTAATGAAAAAAATCATCATTAGCTACTTGATTTCAAATTTGGCATCTATAAGCTTTTTCCTGGAGCCAGTGATGCCAATGGAAAAGCCCCTGACTTCTGCAGGGTCCAGGAGGAAGCAACTTCAAACAAACTTCGTAAGATTAAGGCGCTCTAGCTTTCTTCAAACTCTGAACTGGTAAGAAAAACATTGTAGATCTGAAGCTAGGGGAAGATTAATGCTTTGTGTGCTAGGGAAGTTTTGCTGATAAATTAGGCTTGTTGAAATAAAAAAACTGAAAGATGCAAAATGATACAAAGGAGAAAGTAAGTAATTAAAGGCTTAAAACAGTGCAGTTGAAGTCAAACATCAAAACGAGAGATGGATGATTTACCTAGTTCACTGTCCAGTTCCTCCGTGTGTACCCCTTCTTCTCCAAGGGAAGAGCAGTAAATGAGACAGAAAAAATTAAAAGAAAATTTCAGATACCAGCACCAAGCAAGAAATTCCCTCCAGCAAATGGCAGAACCAGCACTAATTTTCTACAGACCAAGCCCAAGCTTTCCATTTGTCACACTTTAGTGATTAGAATATTGATGGATCTGATGTAGATAATAAAAGAACTGGTTCTTGCATTCTCAAAAAATCTCTTATCAGTTGACTACCTTCCATGCCACAGCTTGATATGGCAAAGTAATACATTTGTGGTGTTCTCACTGTAGTGAAGCTTCTCCCTCAGATCTGTATGGTCCGACCTTTGCAATCCGTTCTGTTGACACACGGATCTATCAGCAGGCCAGACCTGAATACCAATGAAGAAATCTGAGAGGAAAACCTTGCATCTAAATAAGAACTAATGTAGCAAGGTTTTAGGAAAGTACCTAAATTTATGTCCATACAAGGGCCAATTACTTCACTGTAACTACTCAGATGATTTAAGATAGGCATGAAGCAAAGCGCCTCGTTTAACTGGAGTTGCGGGCCCACACCAAAGTCCAGATGTACGGGTGAGGCATATACAGGAATGCACCAGTTTTAGCAGGGCACCTGGGACAAAGATCACATAATTTTTCAAACACACAAAGCCATCAATATTCACTGTTGCTCCATTTATCATTATCTGCTCCATATTCATAAGTTAACAGTGACACAGATGATTAAAGTATTGCTTAGCCTATAAATAATAATAATGCAGTCTGAAAATGAAAGATGATGACAAAACCAGAACAAAGATGGTAAAAACAATCTTGGACCTAATACAGTAAAGTGTTAGCCACATAAAGGAACGATAGAAGCAAACAGAAGATATAGTGTCACAGCATTGCTTTTGAAAATTTGGACACCTAAAAAAACCACTTCCATAACATGTTTGCAATATATTCTACCAAAACAGTAGTTTAGGACCATCAGCGTGAAATATGAATTGCAATTTCCTGTGATAGCCTAAACAACTGGAAACGACCAAAAACTTGCTAGGGACGTGTATCCTGATGGAGGAAAAACACAAGGCAACTGCACGCAAACAAATCTGAAACAACATCTAACATTTATAAAAACCGCAAACAGGATGGAGTCGGGCCTGAAAACTCACGCGCACACACACACAACAAACAAACCAGAGGAGTCGTCCCACTGACTTCAGTGGAAATACTCCCAACAGCGACCCTTGCCAAAACATGTCCAACTTCTACGATGTAGTAAAAATAACCTTCTCTCTTCTTTGTGCTCACATTGTTTTCTAAAATATAATTATTCTTTTGTGCAAAGCAAGATCACAGCAGCCAAGAAAAACAGTGCAGTGCACTGCTGTACCTATGAAGCAAATGGTTTAACTACTGAATGTTAAAAATATTCATTAATGAGCAACTGATGAAGTGAAAGGGTGTGGGGGAAGATGAAATTAGCTGATTTTAAGGACCTGATAAACAAAAATGCCATTATTCTGTAAAATTATGAACTTAATTGAATACAAAAAATTCCCCAGCCGTATGTTTCTAATCCCAATTAAATAAATTATCCCAATGCTTGTTTTATAATTGCTAAGAAGACAAGAGGTTTGAAAGACTTTCCCTTCTGCGAGGAGACTTAAAACTGTTTAGCAGAGGAGCTCAGTCACCCGCTCTTGACTCATCCTACCGGCTGCTCCTTGCCCTGTCTCAGAGCAGAGCACGGGGCATCACCGGGGCTATCGATGTAGCGGGAGTCTTGCTGGTAGAGACAGCCAGGACAGAAGTTGTGCTTTAGGGAAAACTATCTTCTGAAAGAGGAAAGATTGTGCTGAGGCTTAGGAACCTGCTCTCTAAATTGCTAGCAATGCTTAACTGCAAGGAGGAGGGAGCTTTGCCTGCATACACTGTTATTTAATTTTGTTGCAGTTCTGATCACCCACTGACATATCCATTTTTAGGTGCAAAGCAAGGCCTTCATTAATCCAGCTCCCTCTGCTTGCTCCTTGACAGACGACGCCAGTTGCTAAGGATCTGAAGCAGGCGTCAGCTCGGTCCGCTCAATTTTTGCCTGGGCTTTGCACACCCTTGAGGTCTGGGTGCATGCTGCGTTGTGCACTAAGAAGTTGGTGACCTGTTTCATCATGGCAGCGGAAGCTGCACAGGCAAATTCTCACATCCTGCAAAATCTCACACGTGAAAGGAAGCAGAGGTTGAAAAACTGCATGTGCAAAAATAGTAACAGCAGTTCTGGAGGCTAGATTTGAACCTACCAGTAAAAAAGGGATGAAGTGAGTTGATCCTTTTCTGAAGTAAAATCATAACTCTTACTGAGCTGACTCACACCAGTAGGAGTTTAATCATGTTATGAAAACTAATTTTACAAGGACAGCACCAACACTGATGAAGTAAACCCTTCAATTTTTAAGATATGTCTACCACAATAACATTGTGCTAGCCAAAAAAATGCATTAGAATACCACCACCTTTCCTGGTCTGTAGACCAAAATTTCCACACAGGTTTTCCCAAACATTTAAATTATTTTCATCATGATTCCCTTTTTCTTCCAGCATCTCCTAAAGGATGCAGGGAAAGAACCTCCTTTAACAGTCCTGCATTTGGCTGCTCTAAATTGGACAGTGGCTTGCATTTCCAACATCTCAAGGAATACAAAACTACATCAGTGTAAATTTTCAGTGGCAAACATCTACACTTCCAAATGGAATTTGTTTTCAGCAATCATAACACTAAATGGACTGTCAGAATTTAAAAGTAGAAGTGAAGCAATTGAGTTATTTCTGCTCAAACAAGGAAATAACAACATAACACTTTCAAATTCATGTAAAGCAGGTGGTTGAAGTATAATACAATGGAGCACACGGAGACTCAGTCGCTTTCCTCCTACACAGCGATCCAAGGAGCGAACGTGTTAGAAAGCTTTGAGTCTTGCTCAGCATCAGTGACTATTCAAATGCCTTTGCAAAAACAGAGGCCTTTTACTTCGAGCACCTCTTTGATTTTTATTACATTATCCGCTAACTCAATGGCTATCTTCCATAGACAGTGATTCTACAACATAACCGACATTGTCTCTATGCACTTACTAATAAACCTTTTTTTTTTAAAGTATTTCTGAACACAGGTTATTGGAAAGAGGAAAAGGAAAGGAAGAAAGCCACCTAGAAATGGACCAAACACATTATTATCTCACTATTTTCAGTCTCTTACCATCATCTTCACATTCTTCTAGAGGCTTCTGCTGTTTGTTCAGGCACCGTGGATCTAGCCAAGATGTTGTTTTTGTGTTATGGCTGGAAACCAGAAATGGAAATATGACCTTTGTTAATAAAGCAGACCTGGAGTATCAGTGACATGAGAGTATGTATCCTCTTTGTTACTCAACAGACCTGAAGGCATACTTTTGCTTCAGAAAACAATGGCATTATAATCTGCTGTTTTGCAAACTAGTCTACCAAATCACAACAATCTTGGCATTGAAAACGCAAAGGTGAAAAGTGAAAATATACAGATCAGCATTCCTGACTGGAAGAATGCATGTGAAAGCTGCAATATTATAATATTAATTTCCAAACTTTTGTCTTTGGTGATTTGTTTCTTAATTCCAGGAGCTGTCTCTGAGCCATTTTGCCTCCTGACGAAAAGACGGAAGTTTCCCTTCCTCCCTAAACCACGCAGTGACCTTTGTTCCTTCAAAAGACCTTTGACCTTTGTCTAGATTTGACCCAAGCATTAGTCAAAACCAAAATTTCCAGTGAAAACTCTTTAATTAGACAAATCAAAATGTTCTGTCAAAGCCTTTGGTGGAAGTTCAACAGCTTTACTTTCAACTCTTCTTTTCTACAAGTGCCCTGACAGTATCACGATGCCAGCCCCAGCAGTGAAGGCTGCATAGTAAACAGGCTTAAAATACATTTTTCTAGAAATTATTTTCTCCCATCATTTCATTTGCGTATGGAGACAATCTTGTAATACAATGCCTCTTCTACAACCTGATGTCATCTTAGACATAACCTGCAAAGACAGCCCTCCAGTCCCTGAGGTATCACTTATCTAGCTTAGCCTTTAACACTGCTTAACAGTTTTAAGTTTCAATACCATAGTAATGCTATTTACTTCTCCTTCAAGGTCTCAGAGAGGTTTACAAACTTAACCTTAGCCTCACAACAGTCTCACAAAGCTGGAAATGCTGTAATGAGGGCTATGATCCCCGAGGAACTAACAACTTGCCAGCAAACTTGTATTTTACTGCAAGAATGCCCCGCTCCTAGGATCTGAGTGCGTAAATAAAAGGTCCTTGTTTTATACATCCGACTACCCAGCCCTCCCAAAGCACAATGAGCAAATGCATTTAATCCTTTTGTATGCTTCAGAGCAATTAATCGCCAACTAGAAAACTGAATAGCAGAAATTTAGCAAGTCAGGCAAATTAACATCAAGAAAGCAGAGGGGTTCTGCCAACTTACAAGTAAGAAAGTCTGCAGTCTAGCTGAGAAAGAGGGTGGTAGGAGAGCAATGATATGTTTGCATGCTTCTTGCAACTTAGTCTCACTCACCAAAGGCTCACAACAGTGCGGTTTGCCGAGGCACAGAAAATTCAGCTGAACACCTTTCAGATCATACACTCAGAGGGACAGGATTGTGTGAGACCTGTAACATGCACAGATCTACATGCAGGGTAGTGAGGGACTGGGATAGTTTGGGTAATGAAAATCCCAATGAAAGCACCAGAGAAACATATCTCAAGAGCCAAATTGCTTCATCAACAAGCCATCAGGGTCAGTTATCTGACAGGCAGCTCTGGTCCCACTGGACCTGTGCTGGTTCTGTGCAAGGTGCTCAGGTGTTCCATACTGTTCCCTTCAGCACCCTGACTTGATAACCCAAAGCACTGTAGATGACGGTACAGACATCTGAGCCAGCTTGGGTCCACACAGCTCATTAGCTTGCTCTCTTAATTTGATACAAATCAAACTAAATTGTTTCTAGGCTCAGGGTGTCCTTAGAATTAATAGAACTGCAGTCATTCAGTGCTGCATCCACACTAACACATTCTTGCACAAAAATCACTCCCGATGCATATGTATCCTCAAAATGGTCAATCTGCACTGCGGGGAAGGAAGCAGTTGGTGTGCTACTAAATTTTCATGTCAGACAGCCAGCCGTGTATGCAGGCTATATTTTTCCACCACATATATGAGTCTCCTGCAAAAGGCCTAACAAATTATTTAAGGTGCTACAGCCCTGCATTGCTAAGAGAATACGTGCACATAGAGAATATAGCAGTGGTGGGAATGTTTTTGGGGGAAATTGGTGGCAGCAGCAGAACCCCTGTGCTGAAGCACCTGTAAGGAAAAACAGCAGGGGCCCATGTGGGGACAAAAAAGGGAGCAACCAGCTGCTTGGGCAGCATTTAGTGCTCATCATCTGTCCTCCTCCAGGGAGAAAAATGACAGGCTGGATGGGCTATTACTCAGGCTGTGTTATATACGTTAAAACCAGAAAGTACATCAAAGAATGAGGCACCCTGAAGACATAACAAGGGGCAGAATACCATGTTTGGGATAATGAACACATTTCAGTTTCATCCAATATGCAGCTGATGAGAATTTGCATTGTGCCTTCTAGACTTTGGCTTACACTAGGGGGTTGGTGGAGCCTCTTCAGGTAATTGAGAGCACCTTGAAAAATGGCCTTTTTTACAGCAGCCCTCTCCCAGCTGGTGAAGAGCTGCTGTGGTGCTCTCAGTCGTCCCAGCTCCTCAGATCTTCTGGCACTCTTCTCTGATGTGTTTCTCTGCCATGGCAGCCACGGAAAGACCTGCTCTGATGAACCTTTCCTTGTCCCTGTCCAAAAGTCCCCTCTCCTGATGATGGAGCAGGACTGCTCACCTCACTGCCCTAATCCAGCACAATTCTCTGGAGTACCAGAAGGGGCATTAGCAGAGGAGGTTCTTCTGTACTAACTGGCCCCTGGCTCCTGGTGTGCAGACAGAGGATCTCAATTTCTAAGACCGCATTAAACAGACCATCAAAACCAACATCAATTCTTCGCCCCTTTCCTCTACTTGGGCAGTTAAGGGCTTGAGTTTCAAAAGCTAATTGAATTTTAATGTCTAGCTAAATTCTGTGCAAGAAATCTCTTCCGCTAACAGGTCCCATTTTATAAGTTACTCCTATCTCAATAAATCTAGACAAGTATAATTAGAGACTATTATTTATGGCATGAAAAAATCAATATCATCATAAAACTGCTGACAGCACTCAGCTCTTAGGCAAAGTCTGCAGAGCATGAGGTACTTCTTGCTTTTCCAAACTTACTGTGCCTACTTTGCACTGAGCTATGCCTTCTGCAAACCACTGGAGCATGTTAACACTTTTGGCCCATTTGCTCTGACGAGAGGACAACACACAAAGTCCATTCCCTGGCTCTGCTACCGCCTGAGAACATGACCGGAGGAATTCTCTCTGCTGCATTATGCACAGAGGCAGGCTCCAGAAACGAAGTCTCAGCCCTTTCAATTAGGAGCTTTCATTCCACCCGTGAAAACAACTGGCCCATATTTTATAAGTGTCTGTTGCTTTTGTAACTACCCTCATAAAACGAACAATTCCCCCTGCCTTTGAACTCAGGAGTAATTTGGATGTTAATCCAATCAGGAAATGCAAAGCCCCTTCAGAAGCAGTAAAGGACTTACAGCTCTGCAACATAACCATATACACTAAATATTTAATACACACACATACGTACACAACATGCATCCATGGAGGTTTACTTATGCCCAGAGAGAGAAGGGGAGAGAGACGGAATTAGAACAACAAAAATGTGCTTTACTCTATAAAATAGACTTCTCCGTTCTCGGTGTAGGCCATCTCCCAGTTTTCCGGCAGAGGACCTAGGTTATCCTCAGCAGAAGGAGGTAGGTATTGAGGGAGGTTCTGAGATGGTTCCGTGGTGGGAACGTTGGTGTGGCTATCAATCGCGGACGGTGGGGCTGCCTCTCTTACGATATGAGTATTATGCTCGTCTTGGTCACCAGACTCAGCTGTAGAATAAAGAAGCACAAATAAAATCGAAAATCAGTCTTTTTCTCCTCCCATTTGCTTCTTTGGGTTTATCCTTACAGTTTTCCTCTCCTTGCTTTTTAATTCACAAGACACAGCAACAGATGAACTGAGGGCAGAGACTCTGCAGTCTTTTTGCCAGCAGGGACGAGCTTGCTTTGCCCACACACACTCTGCCAGCCAGACCCTCGCCAGCGCAAATCAGAAGCTGTGATCAGCTACTGTGCTCGCTCTAATAGGCCCTGCTGAGGTACCAAAGTCTTCCGAGCTGTCTGAGGCCAGGGCTCACTGATGTAGATGAGTTCAATGGGCTTCTGAGCAGGCTTACAGGTTCACTCCCACAGTGCCAACTGTGGGACAGGGATTAGGAAAAAAAATTTCCTGTTTGAAGAATGATCAAAAGGGGAGATTTTTACAAGTGTAGAAGGTAGCCCGAAGCTCAGAGTCAACAAGCTAATGATGAACGCCTCTACTGTGGTGCATTTTTTTTAAATTAAAAATTAAAACTAATGTCAGCACTACACCATGTGTCCACATGTTGCTGCCCACTAGTGCCTGTTCTAGCTGTCCGAGGAGCTAGATCATTGCCAGCTTAAGACTGTGAGTGTAAACATGCCCAAGTCTGGA